TTTGCCTTGAAGATATGGAGGCATTATCTGTATGGTGCTCGGTTCAGCGTCTTCAGTGATCACAAGAGTCTGAAGTACCTGTTTGATCAGAAGGAGCTGAACATGAGGCAGAGGCGGTGGATGGAGTTTCTGAAAGATTATGACTTCCAGTTGATGTATCATCCTGGTAGGGCCAATGTTGTGGCAGATGCGCTGAGTAGAAAATCCATCCACATGTCTGGTATGATGGTGAAAGAGCTGGAGCTGGTGAAGAAGTTCAGAGATTTGAATCTCTGTGTGGAGTTAGCTCAAGATCACATTAATTGTGGGATGATTTCCATAACTAGTGAGTTCTTAAGGCAGGTTGGACTTAAGCAGTTGCAAGATGTTGAGCTGGTGAAGCTTCTTGGTTTGCTGGGTACTAAGAAGGCTATTGGTTTTGAGCTGGGTGAAGATGGAATCTTGAGGTTCAAGGGCAGAATTTTCCTATTTCAGGATGCTGAGATGAAGAGAGCTGTGTTGGAGGAAGGCCACAAGAGCAGACTTAGCATACATTCGGTATGACTAAGATGTACCAAGACCTCAAGAAGACTTTCTGGTGGTCTGGTATGAAGAGGGAGATAGCTGAATATGTGGCGGCCTGTCTAATGTGTCAGAAGGTGAAGGTGGAGCATCAGAAGCCGAGTGGGTTGATGCAGCAGATAGAAATTTCGGAATGGAAGTGGGATAGTATCACTATGGACTTCATTGTCGGGTTGTCTAGGTCGGCTAGGAATAGTGATGTTATCTGGGTGATAGTTGATCGGTTGACCAAGTGTGCACATTTCTTGCCTATTAACATCAAGTGGTCCTTGGAGAAGCTGACGCAGTTGTATGTGAGGGAAATAGTACGGTTGCACGGGGTGCCTTCCAGTATTATTTCAGACAGAGATCCGAGGTTCACTTCCAGATTTTGGCAGAGTCTACACCAAGCCTTAGGCACGAAGTTGAAGTTGAGTTCTACCTATCATCCGCAAACGGATGGTCAGTCAGAAAGGACAATCCAGTCCTTGGAGGATTTGCTAAGGGCATGTGTGTTGGACCACTTGGGTAGTTGGGAGGAGGTCCTACCGCTGGTGGAGTTTACGTACAATAATAGCTTTCATGTTAGTATTGGGATGGTGCCGTTTGAAGCCTTGTATGGCAGGAGATGTAGGACTCCTCTGTGCTGGTATCAGGATGGTGAGTCAGTGGTTGTGGGACCAGAGCTGATCCTACAGACTACTGAGAAGGTGAAGATGATTCAGGAGAGGATGAAGACTGCTCAGATTAGGCAGAAGTCGTATGCTGACAAGAGGCAGAAGCCTTTGGAGTTTGCAGAAGGGGAGCATGTGCTTCTAAAGGTGACTCCGACTTCTGGTGTGGGTAGAGCGCTGAGAGCAAGGAAGTTGACACCGAGGTTTGTGGGTCCCCATCAGATCATATAGCGTGTGGGTCCGGTTGCTTATCGGTTGGCTTTGCCACCGTCTCTTTCCAACCTACACGATGTGTTTCATGTCACCCAGCTGAGGAAGTATGTTCATGACCCAAGTCATGTGGTGAAGCTAGATGATGTGCAAGTGAAGGAGAACCTGACGTTTGAGAAGTTGCTCGTAGCTGTGGTTGATCATAAGCTGAAGGAGTTGAGGGGCAAGTCTATTGTTCTGGTGAAGGTATTGTGGAATGCAGCTACCGGTGAGGCTACTTGGGAGGTGGAACATCAGTGCAGGGAGCGGTATCCATTTCTTTTCCCAAGTAAGTCTGTTTTCGGGGACGAAAACTTTTGTTGTTGGGGAGGTTGTGAGACCCCTTCCCTCTTCTTTTCCTTCCCCAAACTTCAGAACCATCACTCTCAATTCTCTCTTTTCTTTTGCTGGCTTTTGGTCTCAAATTCTCTAGACTCTCTGGGTGTGTAGGTGCTGACCAAGTTTAGAAGAGCTAGCTGATCCGTGTGGAACTCTTCCTTTCTCAAGCTCTCTCCTCTTCACTTCTCCTTCTTGTTGTTCTTCTTCCCGGAAGCTCGGAATCTTTGCCCGAGGTAAGGGAAGCTAGTTTTCTTGTTGCGTTTTGGCTGAAAATGGGTCTAAGAACTCATTTGGTTGTTTATGATTGCTGATTCTTTACTGATCGGGTGGAAATTTGAGTTTTTGGGGTCTTTGGGGTTTTGAGAAAAATTTGGGGTTTTTCTTGTTTTGTTGTTGCATGTGTAAAAAGGTGGTGTTTTTGGACTCTTGGATGAAAATGTGGTACTTTGAACCGTTTGCATGCTGGGTTTCTGATTGTTTTGCAGGGTTGGGTGAAATTTTCGAACTTGCTGGTGTTGCTGCTGAGCTTCGCGCTGAGCGCAGTTCTTCGCGCGGGGCGCGTGGCTAC